CGATGACAAGACACCTGCAACTTCAGCGAAACAGAAACTGTTGTTCAAGAGAAGAGGCGTGACGGAATTGGAGGATAAAAAGGAACAGGAGGACAAAACTCTTCCAGCTTCCAAAATTCCCGAAGAAAGCGAGAAAGTAAATGACACAATTTCTGCATCTCCTGGGAGCTCAATTCAAACGGAACTCATAGACGGTGTCATTGAAGAAGTACCTACAGACTCTTCTAGAAGGTCAACTCCAGCTGTCGATGGGATAGATGAGAAAAAGCCAACGATTGTCAAGCAACCTCCGTTAAATAGGAAGTCAACCGAAAATACTGGATCAGAAAAAGAGCGAAAAGATACGGTTATCAAGCCACGCAGAGAATCTCAGGTTTTGGCCATGAGAAATCGCTTCCTCCAAAATGACAAAGGATTAGCAAGCGGAATGCTTGATTTTACAAACAAGAAAGCACCACCACCAAAGCCTCTACCAAAGCCGTTGAACAAAACAAATGGAGTTTTACCTTCTGAAATGAAGACTTCTCTTCCCATCTCAGAAGAGAATGATGTTGGAAAAGAGAAAAATGCTGTAGCAGAAGTGAACTCGGAAGCCGCTCCCGAAACACCTCCTAAGCGAATTCCCATCAAGAAAATAGTGAAAAAGAGTCGTGAGTCGAATCTACCGCAAGCGAAACCGGAAAGTGTGAATTCTCTCATGGAGGAAAAGAAGACCAATGATCCCAAGACAACCTCCAGGCTACCAAAAGTTGCTCCTGTTGTGCCACCCAAAAAGAGGATTAGCTAAGCTTTGAATTTCCATATTTAGTCGCTCTTCGATGCCTATATGTGACGCCTATAAGGTTTTCTGCATAATATGACGGTCATTCTTTGGGTAATTTACTTTCTTATGCTTTGGGTACTAATTTCAAACTCAGTCTTCACAAGCAGACAATGTATTTTGATGTATATGATGATCGGGCCTGATTGTGAAATCACGATGTACATATGATGTTGTATAGCAGGACTAAAATAATGAATCTTGTATACCTAAACAAAAACATTAGAGCCGTGATTTGAAAAACAGTTTTTACTATCAAATACATTTTCTCAGTTTCAGAGGGACCTATCTTGGGATGTACCATAACCTTTACATAGATTTTTCGAAAAAAGTCACTTCTTCTTATATCAGTAGGGTTCGGAATACCATTCGATCGGGCGAAGCAAGCTTTACAAGATAGAGTTTAGAAGTTCGCATCAAGCTTGATCGGTATAAAAAATTTAGACTACATGAGTACTCCCTGTTGGAAAAAGTCGTATCCGAGTCCGACATCTGCGAATTCTCACTGCTTACCCTTACATTTTCCACATCAGATGATTATGCGCTTGTTCTATTTTTCTTGAAGACTATAGGTAAGTGATGGGTATAAATGGCCTTTTAAAAAGCTTTTTAATTGCTCCAGATTCCTCTCAAGCATGTCTTTGCATAGCTTTTCACTTACAAATACTGCCGATTCGCAGATTCGCACCCTTGTTGGTGCCTTGGTTCATAAAAATATCAACTTAAGAGTTGTCTGAAAAAACTTATGAGACAATTAGTGTCATCTAACCGTTTATACAAAGGCTCCATTTTTTGGGGGCAAACAACAGCTTATACAATATTCTGTCCTTGTATAGTTCGTGCGCTTACCCAGGCTCGTGACAAAATCTCTCCAGTTTCTCAAGATCAACATATATAAGGGTTCGAAGGCTGTAGGATGATATTGTCATTAGCATTTGTCAAGCGAGTTAATGCGAAAGCCCATTGGAGAATTAACACTCTCCAAGTTTAAAACGTGTCGTTTTTCATGTATAAAGAGAAAAGCAAATGAAACCTACCTTAGGTCTTGTCAGAGCTGGGATCCAAAAAA